AGAACGCCGGCCCTCTCCCGTGCATCGACGGCCTTCTCGAACGGCTGGGCGGCGCTAAGTTCTTCTCCAAGCTTGACCTCAAATCGGGATATCACCAACTGGAGATCCGGCATGAAGACCCCTACAAGACCGCGTTCAAGACACGATATGGGCATTTCGAATGGCTGGTTATGCCATTTGGCCTTACCAATGCCGCGGCCAGGTTCCAAGCGGCTACGATAACGGAGTTCCGACACATGCTCGATAGATTTGTACTCATCTACCTCGACGATATCTTGGTGTATAGTTGGAGTTTGGACGAGCATGTGGAGCACCTGCGCACCGTTTTGGACAGGCTACGACAAGCCAAGTACAAAGCCAACCGCGACAAATGAGAATTCGCGCGGCAAGAACTCGAATACTTCGGCCATTATGTGACGCTGCAAGGCATCCGTCCGCTTGCGGAGAAGATCAAGGCCATCTGCACATGGCCTGAGCCCACCAACACCAGAGACGTTCGCTCATTCATGGGGTTGGCGGGCTACTATCAACGCTTCATCACCGAGTACTCAAGGATTGCCGCACCATTGACGAGACTACAATCGCCAAAGGTGCCATTTGTATTCGATGGCGACGTGCTCCGATCATTCCAAACACTCAAGACGGCCATGCTCATGGCACCGCTCCTTAGCATCTACGACCCCACCTTGCCAACGAGAGTGGCAACTTACGCTTCCGGCTATGGCATTGGGGCAATCTTGGAACAACACGATGACGACGACTGGCACCCTGTGGAGTATTTCAGCCACAAAGTGCCTCCCATCAATTCACTTGATGATGCAAGGAAGAAGGAGCTGCTTGCGTTCGTGATGGCTCTCAAGAGATGGCGGCACTTCCTCCTTGTGCGTTGTAGGTTCACATGGGTCACTGATAACAACCCATTGACCTACTACAAGACGCAGGATACGGTGAGCGGCACTATCGGACGATGGATATACTTCATCGACCAATTTGATTTCACACCGAAACATCTCGTCGGCCTCTCCAATCGTGAAGACCCGATCTTTGTTCAAGACACATCATGCCTTTGCATTCGACGAGGAACTTTAGCGACATTTTATGCGGGGCTACCAGTCCGATCCGGATTTCGCCACGCTATATGCGCAACTATCTTCAGATCACCCGCCGACCAGCCATTAGCACATCGTCGACGGTTACTTGCTTCTCCACTCGCGAGACAAGGACTTACTATGCATCCCACGAGACCGTCGTCTTCGGACTCGCCTTCCCGGCGAGTACCACAACTCTCGACTCGCCGGCCATTTCAGAGTCAATCGAACTATCACACGACTTCGGCAACGATTCTGTTGGCCCGACCTCATTACCGATGTCACTCGGTATTGCAACTCTTGCGAAGTTTGTCGGCGAAGCAAGCCCCACAACCGCAATCCCTATGACGAGTTGCGCCCGTTGCCCATCCCACGGGAACCCGGCCTCTACATTGCTATGGACGTCACCGGTTTGTTTCCCCACGACCGCCTGGGCACGACGACATCCTCACGGTCGTTGACCGATTGTCCTTGCAAGTACTACGCCACAGCTCTCGAACTTGCGCTCCTCCTGCACACCAACTGGATTTGCAGCCACGGCGTACCGGAGGACACCGTCAGCAACCGCGACACTCGTTTCATGTCGGCATTCTGGACTTCTCTCATGCTATCCTGCACCAAGATGAAACCAAGTTCGGCTCGGCATCCACAAACGGACGGACGGAAGGAGAGAGCACATCAAACTGCTCAGATGATGCTTCGTACGCTCATCCGTCTGGATCAGAAGGATTGGGTTGTCGTTGCACCCGGCGGTCGGCGTGACTCCATTCGAGTTGCACCACGGTGGTCGAAAAGGCCATATCTTCACTGATCTTCTCCATCCATGAACTTTGACATAGACAACGCTTGCTCTCCCGCCTCCATCCGGAAGTACAAGGAATTGTTTGCTCAAGCCCGCGTGAACATGCAAAAGGTTCAAGTCCGCATGCAGCAACAAGCCAACAGGTGTTGCATGCCATGTCCCATCCGCGTCGGTGATCTGGTTTGGGTCTCCGCGGAAGAGTTTGTGCTCGAACAGGATGTTTCACGCGAAATACTCCCTAAGTGGTTTGGACCATGGACCGTCCTTTCAGCCGCAGGCGACGAGCCCGACGGCCCATCCTTTGTGACCAACATCCCGCCGCATCTGCCGGTCCATCCAATCTTTCACGCCTCGAAGTTGGCGACATACACACTAGCTAAGAGCGACGACTTCCTGGGCCGACAATCGCAAGACCCTCCGTCTATGGATGGTCATCAGGAAGTCGACGCGTCATCACGGATCGCAAGTACGGCAACAAGCCTCGACAGTACAAAGTTACCTTCAAATCATGCGATCCTGACGACACTTGATGGATTTCAGGAGCGGATTTGCAAGCATCCGCACCGCTGATCTACGCTCACAACGAACGACAAAGGTTAGATAAGGAAGCTTCACGACCGGCCCCTCCCACCCGGACTTTGGTCCCTCCCTCCGACAGACAGCTTCGCCCTTGCAGGTAAGCTCGATCTTTCAAGGAGGGGGGGGGATGGCATACTGCGCATCTCCACGGGCCTGAAGGGCCCGGCCAGACGGAAAATAAGGGCCCTCCAGGCCCTGTGCCGTTTCAGCCCAAAAACCTTAAAACGAGGGTCATTTCCAGACCCTCACAAAGTCGACCTGCCCTGAAACTCAGGCGCCAGACCAGGGTTTAGCATAGGCCATTTTTGGGCCTGTTTCAAGACAACCTTTGTTTGAACTTCAACGCCAGGGTCTGGCACGTTTCGGCATTGGCAAGAGCAGCCTCCCGGACNTTTTTGGGCCTGTTTCAAGACAACCTTTGTTTGAACTTCAACGCCAGGGTCTGGCACGTTTCGGCATTGGCAAGAGCAGCCTCCCGGACGGGCCAGCGCTATATAGTACTGGCCCGCCCTGCAGGCTGCAGGTAGTCACGGGGACTTTCCAGGCAGTTCACGGGCACTTCACGTGCAGGAGGCAGGAGGCAGTCTTCAGGATTCGGCAACAACACTATGGAGGAGCGCTGCGGTAGTAGTAGCTAGCGCTAAGAGTAGTCTTCAGCGCTGGGCGCTATTAGGAGCCTAGAGTAGCGTTAGAGAGAGAGAGTTGGCGGAGGCCAGGGAGACTTACCTATGGCGCCATAGCTCCAGCTTCGTCTTCAATGTACCTGCAACAAGGCGCCACCTTCACAAGTTAGAGAGAGAGAGAGAGAGAGAGAGAGAGAGAGAGAGAGAGAGAGAGAGAGAG